CCCTCCCAGCTTCTCACCCCTCCCCCATACACATCCCTCCCAGCTTCTCACCCCTCCCCCATACACATCCCTCCCAGCTCTCACCCCTCCCCCATACACATCCCTCCCCAGCTTCTCACCCCTCCCCCCATACACATCCCCTCCCCAGCTTCTCACCACCCCTCCCCCATACACATCCCTCCCCCCAGCTTCTCACCCCTCCCCCATACACATCCCCTCCCAGCTTCTCACCCCTCCCCCATACACATCCCTCCCCAGCTTCTCACCCCTCCCCCCATACACACACCCCCTCCCAGCTTCTCACCCCTCCCCCATACACATCCCTCCCCAGCTTCTCACCCCTCCCCCATACACATCCCTCCCAGCTTCTCACCCCCTCCCCCATCTCACACATCCCCCCTCCCCAGCTTTCTCACCCCTCCCCCATACACATCCCCCTCCCCAGCTTCTCACCCCTCCCCCATACACACCCCTCCCCAGCTTCTCACCCCCTCCCCCATACACACACCCCTCCCCAGCTTCTCACCCCTCCCCCATACACATCCCTCCCAGCTTCTCACCCCTCCCCCATACACATCCCTCCCAGCTTCTCACCCCTCCCCCATACACCCCCCTCCCAGCTTCTCACCCCTCCCCCATACACACCCCCCCAGCTTCTCACCCCTCCCCCATACACACCCCTCCCAGCTTCTCACCCCTCCCCCATACACACCCCTCCCAGCTTCTCACCCCTCCCCCATACACCCCCCCCAGCTTCTCCCCCATACATACACACCCCTCCCCAGCTTCTCACCCCTCCCCCATACACATTCCCTTCCCAGCTTCTCACCCCTCCCCCCCATAAACATCCAATAGATCCACCTTCTCACCCCTGACCCCATACACATCCCTCCTCCTTCTCACAGATCCCTCCCCCTACCACATCCCTCCACAGCTTCTCACCCAGATCCCCCCACTCCCCAACTTCCCACCCCTCCCCCAGACTACCTCCCCAGCTTCCTCACCCCTCCCACAGATCCCTCCTCAGCTTCCTCCCCTTCCCCACATCACCTACCATCCCTGCCCACAGCTTCACCTACCTCCCCCCCATCCACTCATCACCACAGATCACCTACCTCCCCCATATGCCAACATCCCCCATCCCTCACAGATCACCTACCTCCCCCATACATACACCCAGATCCCCACAGATCACCTACCTCCCCCATATACACCCAGATCCCACAGATCACCCCTCCCCCATATACACACCTCCCCTTCTCCCCCTCCAGATCACCTACCCTCCCAGCCAGATCACCACCTCCCCCATTCCCCACAGATCACCTACCTCCCCCATATACACCCAGATCACCTCCCTCCCCAGATCACCCCTCCCCCACACATATCCCACCTTCCCATATACACCCAGATCACAGATCACCTACCTCCCCCCATATACACATCCCCACAGATCACCTACCTCCCCCATATACACCCAGATCCCCAGATCACCTACCTCCCCCATATACACCCAGATCCCACAGATCACCTACCTCCCCCCATATACACCCAGATCCCACAGATCACCTACCTCCCCCATATACACCCAGATCCCCCAGATCACCTACCTCCCCATATACCCAGATCCCACAGATCACCTACCTCCCCCATATACACCACAGATCACCTACCTCCCCATATACACCCAGATCCCACAGATCCTACCTACCTCCCCCATACACCCACTCCCACAGATCACCTACCTCCCCCCCATACACCCAGATCCCACAGATCACCTACCTCCCCCCATATACACCACAGATCCCACAGATCACCTACCTCCCCCATATACACCCAGATCCCCCACAGATCACACTACCTCCCCCATATACACCCAGATCCCACAGATCACCTACCTCCCCCATATACACCCAGATCCCACAGATCACCTACCTCCCCCATATACACCCAGATCCCACAGATCACCTACCTCCCCCATATACACCCAGATCCCCAGATCACCTACCCCCCCCATATACACCAGATCCCACAGATCACCTACCTCCCCCATATATACACCCAGATCCCACAGATCACCTACCTCCCCCATATACACCCAGATCCCCAGATCACCTACCTCCCCCATATACACCCAGATCCCACAGATCACCTACCTCCCCCCATATACACCCAGACCCAGATCATCCTCCCCACATATACACCTCCCCCCATATACACCCAGATCCCACAGATCACCTACCTCCCCCATATACACCCAGATCCCACAGATCACCTACCTCCCCATATACACCCAGATCCCACAGATCACCTACCTCCCCCATATACTACACCCAGATCCCACAGATCACCTACCTCCCCCCATATACACCCAGATCCCCCACAGATCACCTACCTCCCCCATATACCCAGATCCCAGATCACCTACCTCCCCCATATACACCCAGATCCCACAGATCACCTACCTCCCCCATATACACCCAGATCCCACAGATCACCTACCTCCCCCATATACACCCAGATCCCACAGATCACCTACCCCCCCATATACACCCAGATCCCACAGATCACCTACCTCCCCCATATACACCCAGATCCCACACAGATCACCTACCTCCCCCATATACACCCAGATCCCATATACACCCAGATCCCACAAATCACCTCCACCCCTCCCCCAATATACACTGGCCTCCACTCAGTGTCCTCCACCCCTCTCTGCCAATCCCTCCACTGGCCTCCATTCAGTGTCCTCCACCCCTCTCTGCCAATCCATTCCCTTGGCCTCCACTCAGTGTCCTCCACCCCCTCTCTGCCAATCCCTCCACTGGCCTCCACTCAGTGTCCTCCACCCCTCTCTGCCAATCCCTCCACTGGCCTCCATTCAGTGTCCTCCACCCCTCTCTGCCAATCCCTCCATTGGCCTCCATTCAGTGTCCTCCACCCCCCTCTGCCAATCCCTCCACTGGCCATCCTCCACTCAGTGTCCTCCACCCCTCTCTGCCAATCCCTCCACTGGCCTCCATTCAGTGTCCTCCACCCCTCTCTGCCAATCCCTCCACTGGCCTCCATTCAGTGTCCTCCACCCCCCTCTGCCAAATCCCTCCACTGGCCTCCACATTCAGTGACCTCCACCCCTCTCTGCCAATCCCTTCATTGGCTTCCACTAACCCAATGTATAAAATTCAGAATACTAACCACACCTTACAAAGCCATCCACATCCACCCGCCCCCCGGCTACATCACCAACCTCATCTGCAGATATTGCCCACATCGCCCGCCCGCTCCTCCCAAGGCATCTTCCTCTCTGGTTCCCTCGTCACCTCCTCCCTCGCTCACCTCCAGAGCCTCTCCCATCCTCTGGAACTCCCTACCCCAGTATGTCCGGTCAGCCCCCACCCTGTCTGCCTTTAGGTGATCTTTGAAAACTCATTTATTCAGGAAAGCTCACCCCACCCCCACCTAAGAACTGTACTTGGGTCACTCCACCAGACCATCCCCCGCAGCCATCACCTTCTGTACCACCTCCCCCTTCCTCTAGATTGTAAGCTCCACGGGCCAGTCTAACAGCGCAGAGCGCAGACTGTTGGCTGCCATCATCTCCAATCCTGTATAATATTAATACCAACAATGGTGAGGATGGGCCCGAATGCCTTCCTAGGGGGGAATTTAACCGGGGGAAAATTCTGGGGCCCCAAATTTAAAATTGCCCCGGCAAGGGAGGGGGAAAACCAACACTGAGAATTTAGATGCTGAATAATATACAGCCCCTGGCCGAAATTGTTGGCACCCCTTGAAAATTTCCCCGGGAAATCATGTATTTTCTCACGAAACGGAAACGTTTGCTTTAACACATGTTTTGCTATTTCCATATTAACATGTTTTATTCCCTTTGTGAGATTGGGACCAAAAACAAAAAAAAGGGAGGAAAAGAAAGCAAATTCGGACATAATGTCACACAACCCACTCAAAAATGCGGCTGGACTCAAAAGTATTGGCTCCCCTTTCCCATCTGCGGTATTATATAGTATGTTACAAGCATGTGATGCTCCTTGTAAACATCACACCTGGGGCAAGTAACAGGTGGTGGGCAATATAGAAATCACAACTGAAAGCAGATAAAAGGAGAGCAGCAGAGAAGAAAGAGACGTTCTCACTTAACCTTTGACATTCGTGTGTCTGTCTGTGCCACACTAAGCAGATGGGACAACAGAAAGAGGAGTCCGAGACACTGTCTGAGGAACTGGAAAAAAGAACAACAATTGCTGGCAAATTTATCAACAATCTCAAGTTACAAGTCCATCTCCTCAGAGAGAGAACTAGATTTGCCTTTGTCCATCTGTGCGCACTCATTTATCAAGAAGTCTTGCAACCTTGGCACTGTGAGACTAATCTCCCATCGTCGTGGGACCGGATGGCAGGAAAATTGATGAAAGATTGCAAGGCAGAAGTAGTATCCGGCATGGTGGATAAGCCAGCCCCCAAACAAGTTCCAACGACATTTCACAGCCTGTCCTGCAGGCTCAGCGGGCCTCACAGCATCACAGTGTCAGCTAAAGCAGAACCTAATCCGTCTGACATTTAAATGAAATGACCACGCTATTTGATGCAGGATAACCACATGAGGACCATCATCTGCTGACACAGAGACATAACAAAAATAGAAAGATCATAGACAGTTTTGCCAAAATGTAACATGAGTAAGCCCCAAAAGCCTTCTGGGAAAACGTCTTTGTGGACAGGATGCGACCAGAAAGCTATTCTGGTAAAGCACATGCATGCACTCGTTTTACCGAAACCGAATGAGGCCTATAAAGAACAAAACAGCAGTACCTAACGTTAAAATATTGGAGGTTCAATGATGTTTTTTTGGGGGTTTTTTTTTCGCCTCTGGGGCCCGGGGGGCCTTGACTGTGTGCAAAGGGATCATGAAATCTTTAGGATTACCAAAGGGTTTTGGGTCGCACTGTAGGGCCCATGTCAAAAGCTGGGTTTGCTTCCAAAATCCTGGGTCTTCCAGCAGGACAATGACCCCAAAAAATACGTCAAAAAACAAAATCAGAAATGGGGTTTGGGAAAGAACGCTGGAGATTTCTGAAGTGGCCAGCAATGAGGGCCCCCCTCTAAATCCCCCTTGAACACCTGTGGAGAGATCTTAAAAATTTCTGTTGGGAAAAGGTGTCCTTCCAATAAAGAGACCTGGAGCTGTTTTTCAAAGGAAAGTGGTCCAAAATTCCGGGTGAGAGGGGTCAAAGCTTTTTGATGGTTATAGAAGCGACTGATTTCAGTTTTGTTTTCCAAAGGGGGGGGCAACCAAAAAATTAAGTTTTTAAAGGGGCCCCAAAACTTTTTTTCCCGCCCATTTTTGGGGGGTTTTGT